ATATCTTGCCCTGTCCGACGTCTCCCTTCATCCACTTTTTGGTTGTCTGTCCCCCAGGGAGGAGGTCACACACAGTTCCATGTAATCGGTTCCCTCGAACTGCTGGCCTTACGGATGGCAGCCCAAGGTGTAACCACTGTACAACCCAGGATCCTTAACTGAGCCTCACTTTCTTTATTATTATGGCTTTATTATTACAACTCTCTTTATTATTACAGCTCCTTCAAGGTGTGGGGAAATATTAATAGTTTTACCTTTTTTAGGGTCAGGTTTTTAGTGTTAAATATTGGTTTTGTGGGTATGAAAGCTCATTAAAGTAAAAGGTCTATTATTAATTTTTTTTCTTAGATTAACCTCAGAATTCACAGAGGTTCCCACAATGGATTTACACATTCCAAGGATCACAGAACCTGCCACGCTTCATTCTACTGTATGGCAGCAAACACCTTTGTACGTGCAGGACTGGACTCCTGCAGCCACATGCAATGGTGCCTAATGCAGGAAGATCACAGGCCGGTGGGTGCACAGTCCTTGGGGTGAGTGGTGGTGGACGCATCTCCAGGGCTGCCATCAGCAAGGCTCCATTTGTTGCAAGAGACTTAAAAATCGGCAGTTGGACTATTTAAGACAAACTGTCCACACACGTTCGTCAGTCGCCAGCTGTGTATAAAGCAGTTTTCATGCTGTGGCCGAGGTTGCTGGAAGTCCAGGAAAGACCGCGAGCGCCCTGGTGGCACAGCCGGGGTTAACGCCCCCATCCCGCGGCAGCCTCTCCCCACTGCTTACCTCTCCTGGGCGTTGGTACTCCAATCCCCACCTAGTGTGTGCTCGCCAGCCTTCCATTTCTGGCATTCTGTCGCCCTCAGCTGGTAGAAGATTGGTACTGCAACATGTGATACCAGGGTTGATGTTAGGAGCTCTTTAGGGGCAGTGGGCTTGTGGTGGTACCTGCCGCGCTAACTTCTTGGCTATTTATGATCTGGAGAAAGTGAAATAGTGAGCCATTCACGGAAGGCATGTCCACTCTGACCTGGCCGGTGCATTTTCTGGTAATGGGGCTGTTTTTTATTTACTTTAAAAATACACCTTTATCAAACTTTTTTTAAAAAGGGGCTAGTTCACTGTCCCTCAGACCCGTTGGAAGGCTGGACTATGGTTTTAAAAAAAATTATGAACAAACTCCTATGCACACTGCACATATTATCTTAATTGGAAGTAAAGAAACAAACGGGGCAAAAACACCCGGCAGGTCAGATAAAAGTCCTCAGTGGGGTGGGCCGCATGTGATCCCTACCTTCTCTTCCTCATGGTCAGGTGGACTCCTTGAAGTCAAGAATGAGGCTTCCGGTTCTGTGCCTTGAACCCCAAACCTCCAGCTCCGACCACATGCTCCACTCCTTCCCCTCCAGCCTCTGGTCGCTGGACCTGGGCAGATCACCCCAGGGCCCTGGGACAGCAGGGCTTGGCTCTCAGTCTGCAGCACTCAGCCCCCACCACAAAGCCTCACCCCACCCCGCAGTCCCTCCAGCACGTAGCAAGGTATTTTGTGGAAAAGCCTTGAGGGAAGTAGGGCAGAATAAGGTACACACTCAAGCCAACCCACGGATGGTATGGTTAGAGCTTGAGGCTCCTTCGAGACCTGCTTTGCCAGAGTGCTGCCGTGTACATTGCTTGAGCTTGAGGCTGGTGGATCCTGTGGCAGTTTAGGGGCCTGCTTCCCTAAGCTCCCGGGCTACTGACAATTGCTGACTCACCCTGCTGTCTGCTGCCTTCGGGCAGACTTGGCCTGTCTTGCCTGAGGGAAGATTCGAATGTGTGCTTCATTGACCTTGGACTGGCATCCCAAGTAAGTTAAAGGGCTTCCAATACGTTAATGGTTCCATGAAAGTGAGTTAAACTGAGCCTTCTACACTACTCAGTTGACTAATTATCTGTTATATTCCTTCTCAATGTATAAACCTATCCTTCTATATATAATCATAAGGGTCGGCTCACTCCCTGCAAGACATCCCCGAGGAAAAGCTAAATGGACTTACCCTGATGTAGCCAGAGCCCTGGCAGCTGGAGAAAACATGTGGAGACCCCTTCCAGCACTGAGATACTTACGCCACTGGATCCACAAGACTGCCCACCCACTGGCCGGTGATTTTCCTGCATTCGGCATCATTGCATGTGTTTAGTGAGTCTGAAGAGGACTTTACAGATTTTCATTGGACATACGGGGTAATATCGGACTTATGGACTTGATCTGGACTGGGCTGGAATGTTTTCTCAATACTCAATTGCCCTTGTATATAAAGCTCTTTCCTGTAATTAAAAAAAAAAAAAAGTAAGTGTCCTGGTTTTGTTTCTCTAGTGAACCCTGCCTAACACACTCTCCAATCTCTCATAAGCCATCAATCAAATATGGAGCAAAACAGGCAAGCAACCGAATGGTCAGCACCAGAGTAAACTGCCACTGGTCCAGGACAGGAGATGGTGTCTGTTAGGGTCTTCCAAGGAGATCAGATCATTCGTCGGTGCTGGAGGGGTACTGGTAGCTTTCTTCAGGGAGAGAACCCTGCACAGCAGCGGACTCACATATCTACACACAGGGCAGTAAACTTGCTGGAACCCAGTGGTGCCGTGGGTTAGGCATCATGCTGCTGACGGGGAGGCTGGGGGTTCCAAGCCACCTGATTCTCTGCAGGTGAAAGGTACGGCTGCCTGCTTCTGTAAAGATCGGGTCTGTGAAACCCTACATGGGGACTCTGAGTCAGGCTGAAAGTACCACAGACCTGGCGAACAGCAAACCAGCCGCCTTGGAAGCAGGACTGCCAGAGTGCTCTCAGAACCAAGGATGGTGACTCTGTCTCGCAGTCGGACATGACATCCCCAGAGACAGACGAGTGCTGGGAAAGACATCACGCTCGGTAAGGCTGAGGGCCAGCGACAAAGAGGAAGACCTCAAGGACACGGACGGACACACTGAAGGCCACATCGGGCTCAAACCCAGGAAGAGTGACGACGTACGGCGCAGGCCGTGTTCCGCTCTGTCGAACATGAAGTCGACAGGGGTCAAAACCCACTCAGCAGCACCTGATGACTGGAACGGGGGACTGATGGCAGCGTGGATGGCTGGACGGAAAGCTGTGCACGTACACAGTGGTGAGATGGAAAGGAAGAGGAGTGTGCAGATCACTAATGCTCTCATGAATTTTCATTTAATGCTAGTGAACATGTTTATCATAAACACAATGAACTACAACCGGAAGTGGAAACCCCTTCTCCTACTCTACCTGGGCCATCACCAAAGGGCTTGCCGCTAGGTTTCTCAGAGGAGAATCAATCAAAACACACACACGTTGAGCGCTGGCAACCACAAAAAGGACTGGGGGAGATTTGGCCCTGTGCCACAAGGCAGGTGGGAAGGTGGCTGGCAGTGGCTCTCTAGAGAAAGGTGTGAACTGATCAGATCTTCTCCAAAGAGTGGACTCTGGTCTGTCCCTGCCTGAGTGAAACTAAATTGCCTTTACCTTGTGACCTCAGGAACAGTCTCAAATACCAAGCTAGTCCAAGATCAAACTATCTAACACAGCCGTGTGCAGGACATCGCTGCGTTTCTCAAGGAGCTCGGGGAGCTGCTTCTTCTGTGGATCAGAAGCTGCAGCTTGTCTTCAACATCCAGACGATTCACATGTGCTCCCCCTAAAGTGCCAGCCACCTCCCCAAGAGAAGCTCAGTCCAGACTGCTGGAGGAGAAGTCACAGAGCATCTGCGCCCCCCAGACGGCATCACTGGAGGCTTGGCCAGCAGGCCGCTGCACCTGTAACCAAGCACAGCACCTTCCTCTGCCCCAGGTGTCCTCAGAGTCCTGGCTTTCCAGCCCAGAGATCGTCCTGGCCCGGCCAGACTCCACCAGCTTCCCGAGCCCAGTGCACTCCCTCCTCTCCTCAAAAACCCCTCCTCCACTCCCACCTGCAAGCCCTCACCATCACCACATCCCTCGGCACCTCAGGGGCTGTATGCACAGGCAGGAGCAGTCTCTCCTCTGGGCCAGGCACTGGGACTGCAGGGCCAGGTGGAGGCCTCCCCTGGCCGGGGAGCAGGGGTGGGCTCAGCTCCACAGCGGACGTGACCCCGGGGAAGGGACACGGCCGGGCCAACTCTGGTCTGAAAAGCAGGCAGGCAGGGTGTCAGGACAGGCTCTGTCTCAAGTGTCCGGGAGGCCGGGGAGCAGCGTCCACTCACTCAGTGAGACGGCAACGAGTGGGTTTGGAGATTATTTAGTCTTATTATAAACTGAAACTTACATCATTTTATTATTTCCATAGGCTTCATCCAAGTTTTCTTTTAGCAATAAAAATGTAAATAGCAGAGGGAAGGTAGGGTGTAAAGGGGGAACCGATTACAGGGCTCTACATATAACCTCATCCTTGGGAGACAGATAACGGAAAAGTGGGTGAACGGCGACATTGGAAAGTGTAAGATATGACAAAATAATAATTTATAAATTATTAAGGGTTCATGAGGGAGGAGGAAACAGGGAGGGTGGGGGGAAATGAGGAGCTGATGCTAGGGGCTTAAGTGGAGAGCAAATGTTTTCAGAATGATAAGGGCAACGAATGTACAAATGTGCTTTACACAAATGATGTATGTGTGGATTGTGATAACAGTTGTATGAGCCCCCAATAAAATGATTTTAACTTTTAAAATAGATCTTTAGTTTTTGATTTTCAAACAAAAGTAAGAATGCTTAAGAAAAACTAGACTAAAACTGATGATCTTGAGTCAGAGAGAACTGAGGAAAACCGCTACACTGTGCTGTCTTGGTGGTCTCACGGCCTGGACACGAGGACCACTGCCCAGGGATGACCACCAGTACAGAAGGCATGACACTGACTGACCAATGCACAAACCCCACTTCAACGTTCTCCAAGCTCCCTTCCCAGACCCTCGCCCGACCCCAAGCCCACTTCAATGTTCTCCACACTCCTCCCCAGTGGCATCAAAGCCCTCCTGTCTGCAGTCAGGAAGGCAGTTAGAAGAATCCCTCTGTGTCCTGTGCTCGTCTGCTCCCAATAAAACTCTCTCTTCTCACCGAAGCCTGCGCTGGAGCAGACATTTCGGATTGACTTCAGCAGCAGGCGGAGACCTGACTTCTGTGGTGACACATGTGGGGGTTCGTCCAAACCCCCTTCCTACCTGTGACGCACGGAGCCTGCAGCTGGAGTGATTTCACCAGGGACCGAGAACTTTCCCTCCCTTAGAGTGATTTCACCAGGGACTGAGTACTTCCCTCTCCCGTGCAGAAACCCAGAGCTGACAGAGAAGTTGGCTCAAGCCCCTATGAGATAGTATTTTTACAAATGTTGCCACTGGGTCAGTTTTGACCCACAATGGCGCTGTGTCAGACAGAGTAGAAGTGCCCCAATAGGGTTTCTAAGACTGAACATATTTATGGCAGCAGACGGCCACATCCCTCTCCTGGGGAGCAGCTGGTGGGTTTGAACCTCTGACCAGCAGAGAAGTGCACTGTGCAGCCAGGGCCCCTCAGGAGATGCCATGAGGAAGATGCACATCAAACCCACCCTCCATCAACAGAAAAACCTCTCCCAGGCTGCCTGCAGCCCCCGAAGCCCTTTCAAAACCAGAGTCTGAAATGCAGAACAGGATGCTGCCGCTCTGAACCCCACAGCCTGTGGCGAAAGGAAAACACCAGGAAGAGGCTGCTGGGAGCTGGGCAGCCTCATGGGCACGTGAGCCCAAGCTCTACCCAGACACAGGCCAGGGATGGTGCCCACATAAGCCCTGGTGTTTGTGGGTGCCTTTCCTGTTTACCAGAGAGGCAAACTCTTTGTAGAAGCAACCTGGGATAACTGTTGTAACTGTCAGAAATGTCTAATCTGTGTGCCCTGAGGGGTAAAGAGAAGGCTGGGCCCCTCTGACTGGCCCTTTGTCCCCTTTACTTTCCAGGGTCCGTGGTGGAAAAGGTATCCCCGACTGTGGGGCTGTACGGGACCACCTTTGCGTAAGGATGACCTCAGACGCGGGGTTCTGCAGGATTAACTTTGGGGAAGGATGCCTCCCACCGTGGGGTTCTACAGGACTACTTTTGGGGAAGAAGGAACCCTGAACTTTGGGTCCCGTGGCACCAGCTTTGGAGAAGGACGGACACCGATCTTTGGGGAAGAATAAACTCTGAGCATGGGGTTTTTCGGGGCACTCTTTGGGGAAGGGCGGACTCTGACTATGGGGTTCCGTGAGACTGCCTTTGGGGAAGGATGAACTCCAGGGGTAGCAATGCAGGCTGTGTCACCAGGAAGCTCCCGGCCTGTAGCCCCACGTGTCCACCCCTGGTACCTGGGCCTTCCTCCAGACACATGGTCTGGGGGTTCCCGCCGGGCATGTCAGTGAATCCTGGGGGGGAAAGGGTTCACCTATTACACAGGGAAGGAGCAGGGAACGTGAGGCGGCGGCTCCACATTGAGGCTGGCCACGCCGAGCCAGGCTCACTCCCTGCAGAAGCCTCTGAATGACACAGTGGTAACACCTATGTTCAAGCAGCCAAACAACAGGCTAACTGTCCTCCGTGAACCTCCTGACCCAGGCCACCTGCTCAGGCTGGCTTATGAGAGCACATCTGCTTTCTCCCATTCTCTCTTCCCTGGGGACCTCTCCAGTGC